TCTTTCCCTTGACTTCAAAGCTTGAAACCATCCCAAAATGGACGGTTGATGGCATACTTGAGTATATGCAGTCTGAAACAAGCAGACAACAGGTGCCAAGATCTTGACATGTCATTTTCCTTGTGAGGGGACTAAAGGAATTTCTCCAACCTCTTAATTTTGAGAGGACGACTATCTTACTAGATCTCCTTATTCTTAATCTGGCCTCTTAAGTGTTTATTTGTATTATACTTTCACTAAACTTATTGGTTGGCATATGTTGAGTACAGTAGTTTATGGGTACAGAAGACATAATAGGAATTCCTTTATTGTCTCATAAACTATGTTTATATATGAACACAGAACATAATTGGATTCCCTGGATTTGGCTGGCATTCTTGAAGCTACCTCAGATTTCTAACTTTCAAGGGATAATTTGCAGGAACAAGCTAGAAACTTGAAGGAACTTAATGTGCCAAAAGACTCTACATCACCAAAACAAGAGCTCCCTGAGGTGGTATCTTTTACCCTGTAACTAAATGTGCCCTCGCTGTGCATGTCTATACTATGAAATTTAATTTAGCATAAAGATTTATGTAGTCTTGTGTTTGTGCCTTACCCCTTATTCAGGTGACCCCTGAAGCAAAGAAGAAAGCTGCAGAAGCAAAATCAAGAGGAGATGATGCTTTCAAAGTGAAGGATTATAATATGGCCATTGATGCATATACACAGGTGCGTTTTACATCTTCCTCTGTTATTAATGCTAATCAATTTTCTAGTTATGTTGCAAGTTATGCGTTGGTCCCATGCTCAAGACAAATTTATTGGATTACTGCGGGCCCTATTTTTTCTCTATAGAGAGTTTAAGCAGGCTACTTTCGATTGTTCAGACTACTGCTTAGTGACAAGTGCGCTTAATGGGGAAACAACCGACTCTATTTGCTTACAAAATACTACTACTTAGTTCTGTGTTTGGCCATGCATTTACAGGCAATTGATATGGACCCGACCGATGGTACTTTGCTTTCTAATCGAAGCCTTTGTTGGATGCGTCTTGGTCAACCTGAGTATGCCTTAGCTGATGCAAAGGCCTGCAGGGCATTAAAACCAGATTGGGCAAAAGCTTGCTACCGAGAAGGTGCAGCATTGCGTCTATTGCAGGCATGTGCTCACTTAACCATCTCATGATGCTTCTAATGAAATTTTATATGAAAAAAGAACAATATCCAATGAAATATTTATTTGTTATCGCAGAAGTTTGATGAAGCTGCCAATTCTTTTTACGAAGGTGTCAGGCTGGACCCTGAAAATCAGGCACTTGTAGATGCTTTCAGGTTGTATTCAAAAACTGCTCTGCTTTCTCCTCTCCCCCCTTAGTTGTACTGTTTTCTTATTATTTGCAAAACAAAATCAAATGCAAATTGTGTTGCTTGCTTCTGTTTAAGAAAAAAGGGGTTTATTTATAAAATAGGACCTGTTTTTTCCATTGAATTATTATCACTTTCCCTGGGTTGCAAGCTCTAACCACTTTTTTCTTTACAGAGAAGCGGTTGAAGCTGGAAGGAAATTTCATGGTGCTGATAAACAGAAATCATAGTTTGCCGAACGGTCGTATCCTAAGCTAGTCAAAAGGTTGGATTGAGATCATTTTCCTCTTCTTTTATGAGAGTGGGTTGTGGTTTTAATTAGGAACTGTGAGATTGCTAGAGTAGTTGTTACTTATAAATGTGAGAAATTTTTTGCCGTTGCTGCCTTTGTTCAGTTTTGTTAGTGACTAATGTTTGCAGTAGTATTATTGTGAGACACTTTTTTTATTTTCTATTGTTCTTCCTTCTCTTTGGCTGCTTTTTTTTTTTTGGATAGTCTCCTACATTCAACTCTTGTCTAGTCATCTCATCAATTTTGTGGGATATCAATTCTTTTTTCCAAAGTCGATGGAAAAATCTTTGCTTTTTTGTTATAACTGTCTATTGTCCAAAAAGAACAAGGAAAAAAAAAACTGAAATCTAGACGTTATGATACAGAAGGGCAGCACTGGTTTTAAGCAAAAATCCAGTTGTATTTCAACAGACTACAATTTTCCACTTAAAAAAAAAAAAGACAGACGGCCGCATTAAATTAAAATAAACACTTTATAATTTCCAAAGTTTCTCTGACATCCTCCACCTTCTGCGCTTGCTTCAGTCCCCTGTTTCCGAGAGAGGATAGAGCCCTTCAAATCCTTTCTCAGGGTTCTAGGGTTTCTCTACCAACTTCTCAATTGACTCCTTTCCCGCCCAAATTTCCGATCTTTTACAGGAATTTCCCGATTTCCATCAACAATGTCGCTAAAACCACCTGCGGGTTACGGCACCATCACCGCCGCCAACCCCGCCGCCGTGCAAACCTCCAAAGATCTCACCTTTACCTCCCGTGCCAATCCCCAAACTTCCCAACCCGTGTACCCCGCACGCATCTCTCAATCCGTGTACCCTACGCGCCGCCCGTGGCCAGAGCTCTTCTCCCTGACCTCCTTCTCCGTTCCGTACAACTACGCCGACGCCATGGCTCGAATCAAGCACAACATCAGCTACTTCCGCGTCAACTACGCCATGGTAGTGCTCCTCATCGTCTTCCTCAGCCTCCTATGGCACCCAGTCTCCATGATCGTCTTCTTGATCGTCCTCGTCGCCTGGCTCGCCCTCTACTTCTTCCGTACTGGGCCCGTCGTTTTGTTCAACCAGAGCTTCGACGACAGGCTGGTGGTGGTCGTGCTGAGCTTGGTCACTGTCGTAGCGCTGGTGTTTACCCACGTGGGTTTGAATGTGTTGGTGTCGTTGATCGTCGGGGTGGTGGTGGTTGGGCTCCACGCCGCCTTTCGGGTCACCGAAGACTTGTTTCTTGACGAGGAGACTGCGGCTGAAAACGGGTTGGTGTCGGTTGTTGCAAACCAGCCCCTGCGCCCGACTTCTTACACCCGGATTTGAATTCTCGGGTTGTTTGATTCTTCGCCGCTAAAATTGGGGTTTTGAGGTTGTACAAAATATTTCAGATGAGGGTGGGGATTTTTATTTTTCCGGGAAAAATTCGATTTTTATGGGAAATTTGGGTTTTTGGAGCTGTGTTGCAAACTGTAGAGGGACAACAATGTAGCAATTGCAGCTTCAAGAGGGAAAGGTGATTGATTTTTGTTATTGTCTTCTTCTTTGATATCATACAGTGGATAAAGTTTGGTTACTACTTCTGTAACAGTTTCTGGTGTATTTTAATTGTTAAGCTTGAAATAGTTGTGATTTTGATTTATCCCTTGTGTTTTGAGTTTTTACGGGGTCTCGTTTTGTTCAACTTCTGTAACAGTTTCTCGTTTTGTAAAGCTTGAAAGAGTTGTGATTTTGACTAAACTGAAACTGAATTCTTGAACACACATAAAATTTTAAGAACTTGGGGCTTAGAAGGAAGATACATAGGGTTAAGGCTTCAACCCTTGTATGTATGGGATACCTGTGGATGGCAGCCATGAGTTCCCGTCAATAAACTTGGCCGCTGTAAACCAGTCGGCCTCCGATGGGTTGGCAATCACATGATATCCCGCCCACTTGACTCGGCCTGCAAGCCCCGCACCTGGCCCCGTGTTCATGTACTCACCATAATACAGTGTGTCAGTCCCAAAACTCCCTCTGAATTCAAGCCAACCTTCGGGCATTATAACATTGCTTATATATGATTGTATGAAAACTGTCCGTGAATATTCACCCCAAGGTCGACCAAGATACGCTTCGCCTATGAAATTGGGGTCTGCAGAGATCTTGCATGATTGGAAGGAGAAGCCCGATGAGTCGTTTAGGGCATATCGTCCATGCGCTGTGACCACGCTAATTTTGCCTATTACATTTTTCCTGACAATGAGTGCACAATTTTGGAAAACAGCAGTGCCATAGCCAAAGATGAAGTCCACACTGCCACTGATTTGGCAGTCTCGATAGAACTGACGGCCGACGTGTACACACAATGAGTCTTGGTATCCACTGATCTTGCAGCGATAGAAGACAGCACCATCGCTGGCGGATAGAAGTGCAACTGCCTGCAAACCTTCTGGTCCTGCAGCGTTCTCAAACCCTATGTCCATTGCAATGAATCCTTCGGCCGATACCGCTAATACAAAATGAATTGACAACAAAAGTCATACACAAAACAGTAGGAACAGGTTTTGACATGTTATGTCATCAAACCCTGTTATTATATACTTTTTTAAAGATAACTTATGCCTAAATACATGGTATTGATTGGTGGTATTCTGGTAAGGTAAGAGAGAATTTACTTTTTCTAAACGTAATTTTGAAATAAATCAATTTTTGGTGTCTTACCAAATGTTGGTGAATCAAATGTTGACCAACCATCACGAAAGCTTCTACTGCCAGATATGGTAGTAACGTCCATACCCTCGCCAATCATGACCAAATTCCACTTGTGGCTATCGATTTTCACGTTTTCTTTGTAAAATCCTTTTTTTACAAATATCACAAAGTGATCTTGGCTATGGTTTGGTGCAGCAGCTACGGCCTCCATTATTGTTCTAAAATTCCCATTCCCATCTTTACAAACCGTAACGTTTGGCGTTTGCAAAAATTTCAGGGCAGCATAAGCTGCTCTGCGGCCACGGCCAGGTGGTACTTGCAACATGCTAAGCAGCTCTTGGGTTGACGTGGTCACTTGCTTGAAGCTCTGTGCTGCCATGGAATATTTGGTGCCATCAAACACTTCCATGCATGTCTTTTGGCTGCCGAGGTTTGCATCCAACCTTGCTCTTGCATGGGAAATGACATCTGTACTCGTGCGATAGTATTGTGTATAACCTGTAAAATGAAGCTTTAGTTTTAGCATTGGTTTTTCTTGTCCTCAATGAAAGAAAATGAAGAAATAGTTAAGAATTTAAAACCCTTGCAATATACATATGAAATGAACCTTTCGGGTCGTGATGAATGGCGGAAAGAGACCAATTCAAGGCTTCATAAGTTGAGCCAAGCACATCTGCACAATGTGAAATAGCAATATTAAGATTTCGATCATGATCATCATGATCATCCTGAGCGTGAGCATACATGCGGATGCGGGGAATGGCAGAAGCCACATTTTGGACAAGTTCCATGGTAGAGTGCAATGAGTTTTTGAACACTGGCAGAGGGACGTTTATGATATTAGCAAATGGGGTTTTGGACAGAGCACAGAGACAAATGATGAAAAAGATGAAATGGCAGGAGCACATCTTCATCAGTGGACACATGAGAACAGAGCAAATTAAGAGAGAAGCAAAGCAAGAATCTGACTATTAAGAAGAATACGCAAATATATAACATGTATGCAGAAATTTGGAAGCGATGATAACGCCCAAATTTAAGTGGTCGGATTGAATAATAATTACCATAAATTATGGATGTTAATATTATGCAGCAAAGGATTTTCCTGGGATCTGTTCCTAATTAAACCCAAGCACTGAGATTTCCAAAAATCAAATTTTCTTCCTTCCCATTTTTGTTTCATTAGGAAGTAAATTTGGAAGAATTTCTCCATCAGGAATAATCTGATGTTCAACATTATCTTCTGTTTGACCTTTTTCAGTAAAAATGGTATATATTAAGATTAAAGTAAATTTAGGTTTCAGCCAAAAAAAAAAATTTTCACTTTTGGAAAAAGCTAAAGTTTTTTTTAAAAATACAGAAAAACTTCTCAACTTTCAAATCAAAGACATGCAAGTGTAAAGGATTCCTTAGGAAATCCAAAAATAAATAAGGGTAATTTTATCTATTTTTGCTTATTTTACAAACTTTCTCTCTCCTTTGTGTTTTTCCCCCGCTCCTTTCTTCTTCTGTTGAAGTCAAATGTGAAATGCTCTCCAAATGATTTGTTGCCTTGTAGAACTTGCATTTAAACTTAAATGAATTTGATTGAAGGTTTGAAGTATGTGCAGAATTACTGGTACTCCTGAAAGTGTAGATTCAAAAGGTTAGGAAGCCGCAATGGGCTTGTAGGTTAAGAGCATTTATCCCTACATCCTAAGTCCTTGGTTCGATTCTCCCTCTCCCAATATTACTTTGCTTTAAACAAGAGGTCGGAAAGCCAAGACACCTGCAAGTACGCACTCCTGCCATATCACTAACAAGTTTGGTGCTCTTGGACTCAAACGCTATAAAATGAACTTTCTGAAATCAAAGAAGACCATCCAGATGGCAGGAACAAGTTTCCTCATGTATTAAAAATATAAGTGAACAATTCCTTTAAAGAACAAGAAGGAAAATCATATCAACAACAAATCCTTTATCATTTGAAAAACCGAACTACAGAAACACAAGTCCTGCGTTTAATCCTCCTCTAGATTGATGGAGTCCTTGAACTTTCCATACAAAATTTGCTTCAATTCGGCCATCTGCGCAAGAATAGATTCCTTCTCTTCCTCAAGTTTCTCTAAATTTTTGCTCGTCGCCTCTTTCATCTCTTCGATCCTGCTCTCCACTTCTTCTTTTGGCACATGGGCAAACACTTCACCTATCTGGAACCGGACCACCTCCTCATCAGTGAGAATCAACTCATTGCTTGCATCCTCCAGATTCTCATTTGATTCCTGGATTGTAACATGGATCAGAAGAGAGCACAACTTACAAAATATACCAGGATGACAATGACACCCACACAAGTAGATAGAAAGTGATGTTCATGTTCAAAAGCTAGCACTAGTACCATGATTGAGAAGGTGAGAGTCAACATAATACAAACTCTCACATAACTTTTAACACATTAAAACACCATAAAAAATGAAATCGCTTAGTATACTACAAATGCAATCTCGAAAAAGAAAAAGAAAAACTAAAGTCAAACAATCAAGGGACTGGATAATGAAATGCAGTCTACCATAAGCTTCCCAAGGAAAATGCAACAGAATGGTGGCCTAGTTCACAAGACTCTCACAATGGCAGATCAGACGCGGCCTTTATACCCACTTAATTGCGGAAAGCAATTCATCCCAAGGAAAATCTATGGGGTTAAAGTAAAGTAAAGAAACATGCATTTAAACATGCAAAATTCCAGGCAGGAGGCTCATTGCACACAAATTTGATCACTTGGCAGCTGGCACAAATCAGGAAAGCAAACATTCAACCTTTGTCAATGTGAATTTCTGAAATCGATGCCCATTACAAAACATAAAACTCACAGGGTAGTTTGCCAAATCATTCAGGTAGAGCAGTCCCACCAAACCTAGAAGACTAATAAATAAAGTCAATTTAGTTTTAGTAGCAGTGAGGCCAATCCTAAACAATCATTTCATCATTTTTCTTTTCGCTTCACTTCACTATTTTTCAATTTTAGAAGAAGTCGTCGCTGCCACTGGTTGGGTCGAGAAGAGTAGAGAAGCAGCCACCCGATCCGCCCAGACCCGCCCAGGCCGCCTAACTCCCTGGCGCCTACCCCTAACGATTAGGGTGAAGTGTCCTGCCGCCTAGGCCGATTTTACGAACACTGAATTTTAGATTACAATCGCTAGCCTTTGCACACTCTTAATGCAATACATGGTACATGTTCTATTTATAGTCGATTTGAGATAAAACAACATCGAATTTTCAAGACAAAACAGCATTTAGTACCCAGAAAAGAAAAACAAAAAACGAATCTTTCAAGTAAAAAAAAACCAAACAAACGTCCACAGAAAGGAAATACCTTGGCAAATTTGATCTCGTCCTCGAGCTCGTGAAACCGGTTATTCAATCTGCCAAATTTGTTGATGTTCTGCTGGTCTTCCCATGTCACCTCCGTTTCAGATCCTCCACCCTTGGCCCAAAAAGACAAAATAAAATTAAAAACGAAACCTTTTGCTTGGAATTATTAGATTGTGTGAATGAAAAATTAGGGCTTTGACTCACCTGTTGCATGCTTGATTCAAAAAGGTTGAACAAACTCAACGAAGCTCAGTGAACTGCGAAGAGGAGTAAAGCCTGCGACGAGGGCACTGTGGGCATTTCGGTATATATACCTAGCTAGTGTCAACAACTGCAACCCAAATTCTAATTTGGGCCTAATATCGGGTCAATCTTTATTGCGCTTGAAGAAGCTTATTTAAAGCAAAATATGGCCCAGTGTGAAGATGTGTAAGGGTAATACCGTAATATGGGTATTGTCAAAATTTATTTATTTATTGGTTCTTTTCTTTCTTGGCCTGAGAAATGTCAAAATCTAATACCAAGAAATCAGGGTTTGACCCGAGGAACTGCACCCCACAGAACAAAAGAAGTGGTATAGAATTCTTTCAAAGAACACATGGCCTGGGGCTGCTTCCAAATTTTCTAAAAACAGAACTGCCATGCCGTTGCCACCTTAAGAGAATCCATGTTTGTGTGAGAGACTAGCTTAGCTACATGATCTAATTTTAGCCATTCATGCAAACCTACCACCTCCTATTTCAGGATATATCTCTACACTAAGATCAACTAATTTTGCCTCAAATTGCACTGCAATGCAAGCAAACTCATTGCAGCACTTCTTTTTTATTCTTACAGTTAAGTTGAAGCAACTCTCCCTCTCTTGATTTCTCTCATGGCAGCTGCAGATCACTCTACCCTTTGCCATTTACACTTGGTGACTATTAATCTTTTCTTTTATCTTGTATGTCATTCTTCATTAGCAAGCAATGTTCATGGTGGTGGATTCAGTGTCCAACTTATCCGCCGAAACTCCCCTAATTCACCATTTTATAATCACAATAAAGCTCCTTCAAGGAGCTTATACAGACGCTTTCGACGTCTCATGGAGCCATCCAACCCAAACACACCCCAATCAGAAGTAAGACGTGACTATGATGGGGAACATCTTATGAAGCTCTCCATTGGAACTCCACCGGTCGATATTTATGGGGTTGCTGACACAGGCAGCACACTGATATGGACACAATGTGAGCCATGTCTTGATTGCTACAAGCAGAAAAATCCCAAGTTCGACCCGAGAAAGTCCTCAACATATAGAAGCCTCACATGTGGTGCACAAGAATGCAACTTACTTATTGACTCTGGCTCTTCCTCTTGCTCATCACCTGATGATCACAAAGCGTTTTGCAATTACAGTTACAGCTATGTAGATGGTGCAGCCACCAGAGGGGTACTTGCAAAAGAAACAATCATCATGAAATCCACATCTGGGGAACCAGTTTCCGTCAAGAATATTTTGATTGGTTGTGGACACAACAATACAGGGGAAACATTTCTTGAGAATCAAATGGGAGTAGTTGGGCTTGGAACTGGGAATATGTCATTCATTTCTCAAATTGGTCCCGGACTTGGAGGCAAGAGGTTCTCCTACTGTTTGGTTCCACCTCATGCCAATCCCACAGCAACAAGCAAGATGAGTTTTGGGAATGGGAGTGAAGTGTTGGGTGAAGGGGTGGTCTCAACACCTTTGATCTCCACACCGGACAAGACCGCTTATCACGTCACGATAGCAGGGATGAGTGTTGGAGATAAGTTTGTGCCTTTCAATTCATCGGAGACTAATGCGGTTTTGAAAGGCAACACCATTCTTGATTCAGGAACACCAAACACATACTTACCACAACAGTTTTATGATCCCTTGGTTGCAGAGTTGAAGAAGCAGATTCCAAGGACCCCCATTGAAGTAGTGGACCCAACTTTTGGGACCCTAGTGTGCTACAATACCGCGACGAATCTCAAAGGACCAACATTGACAGTGCATTTTGAGGGTGGTGCTAATTTGCAGTTAACACCAACACAGACCTTCTTTCAGCACCAAGAGTTTAAGAATTTCTGCTTTGCAATGCAGAACTCCAGTTATGTCACTAATGATGATTTTGTTCTTTATGGAAACTATGTTCAGTCAAATTTCTTGATTGGTTTCGACCTAGATAGAAGGCTGGTCTCCTTCAAGCCAACTGATTGTACAAATACAAGTGCTGCTATTCCCACTCCCTTTTTCTACTTCTCCACCTACCTTTTGAATCTTCTTCCAATTGTAATTTTGTCCTTATAGAGAATTAGTTACTCAAAACAACATTATCCAATCTAAGCATTTCACTATATGTCACTATATGGATGAAGAAACAACATTAACAGTTTTTTTTTTTTAAAAAAGTAATTAAGGTTATTCAAGGAT